ACACACACACACAACGGTAGAAATCACAGGTCAGGAAACAAATCTTGTCATTTGACATTCATAAGTGTCTAGCAGAATATTGCTATTGCTTTTAAAAAAAATTTGTTTTGTTTAGGTAAAAGTTTTATGGCATGGCAACATATGCTGTTGCTAATTACATCTTAAAAAACGAACCATAAAGTAAACAACACTCAATAGTAATTGAACAACAACACAACAGGACAGGTCACTTATCACACCCAGCTATTTTGAGGTATCGAGCAAAATCTACATTTCCTCGATACTATTTGTTTGTAAACCCCCCCATGTCCAGTGAAATAACTTTGTACATAAACCAGTGAGACTTGTAGTGTCCTAGATACGGTTATCACACCAAGTACGGTATTAGTATTTCAAGTCGGTGTTACCCGCCTGTGTGTTATGCAATGTAGGTCAATTAAACAAAGAAGTCTCAGAACACCCGTTCATGGATCTCGCATGTGGTTTTCTTATTGTGCTAGCCCCTTCAACATAACAAGACTGAAACTGTGTTAAAATTATTGACTTGTAGGGCTTGAAATAATAACACTTTTTTTTGGTGGTCAGAGTGCCCAATATAACAGCGTGTTACAATAGTGACTGATAAAGGAAGAAAAGAAGGAAGAGGGAAAAGGATAAAAGATGTTTGACTGGAAAGAACAAGCAGCTAAAACCTCACCAGAGCACCCGCCATCCACCCAGAGTGAAGAACATGATCATTGCAGATACACAAACTTATTCGATCAAAACCAGAGGAAGTATTAGAACTGTAATAATTAATTTATTGTTAGGTAGTTCAACAGGCAAGACTAATCTAACCAGTCAAAAGGTCATGAAAGAATTTGTTTTCAAGTAAAAAAGCAGCTCAGATAATGTCCATTCATTTTTTTGTTTCTATAAACTATTACTTCTATAAACTATTACTTCTATAAACTATTACTTCTATAAACTATTACTTCTATAAACTATTACTTCTATAAACTATTACTTCTTCTATTAGATGATGATAGATATTTTCACATTCACAAACCGAAAAGTGCGATCTGATGATGTTGTCAATGGATGTTGTCAACGGATGTTGTCGATGGATGTTGTCGATGGATGTTGTCAATGGATGTTGTCAATGGATGTTGTCAATGGATGAACTGTAGCCAAGCATAGACTCCACTCTTACCACTGCTAGTACACCATCAGGAACATACAAATCACAGGAGTTTGGTTTGGAGTTTGGATGAATGTATTTTTTAAAAATAACTTGGTGAAGATCAATTTGCCCGCCTAGATTTCTGCACTTTCTGAAAATACAAGCAGGAGTGTTTCCAACCCTCTCAATTTTAGTGAGCAAAAATGAAGGGAGAAGTGGAGAATCCTTTAATTATGACTGAGGAGTTTATTCTACTTTAAATACACCCCCTGAGAGCAGTTGGTTTTTGTATTTGACTTGATATCAACATTTCTGACCTCGGTGTGCATGTAATAAGCGCGATTCCGAGCTCTTAACTATGTTTCACAAGACAACAAAAAGCAAACAAAGTAAAGGAAACATGTACATCTTTAAGAGTCCAGGGACTTACCATAACTTTTCTGTTTTTCTCTCAAATCTAAACAAAATTTCGATCCTCCTCAAGATCCAGAAAAGCAGCCTGGCTGAGATGATTACACCGTAGCCTTGGATACCCCCTGTACAGCGCATGCGCTAACCTAACAAGGGTGGATAACTCTCATTCACATCCGGCGAAATTGTCAACATGGCTGCTGTGTGTAAACGAATTGTCGCCGGGCATCGTTCAATGTCACGGCTTTTAATGAGAGCCCAGAAGTGTAAGTTAGCACCAAAAAAAACCAACAAAAAAACAAACAAACCAACTTTTGAACGTACAACACCAGTTACGTTTTCTAAAACTCCAGCCTGCAGATGCATTACTTTAGGGGGGAGAAGTTCCGCAGCAGGCCGGCCACTTACCTTGTTCTTGTTGACAAGGTCCACTGAGCAAACTAGATCTAGATCTATATCTAGATCTAGATATATATCTAGATCTATATCTACAATTCTAGATCTAGATTCTCTAGAATTGTAGATCTAGAATCTAGATCTAGATCTATATAATATACGAACCTGTGTAAGACATGGACATGGTCTGGAAGGCACATAAATTCTCCATGAACCTAGATTTCTAGATTGGTTTCAAACACGGAAGTGGCTATTCTCATCCGGGGTGAGAATAGAAATCTGAAATACGATCGACCTCTCACCCCGGGTGAGACTTGCGACCGTAGGCTATTCTCACCCGCTTTGAAACAAGACCTGTTTTTCCTAATTTCGGAATACTTTCTATCGATGTGGATGATCAAATTGATAAAAGCCAAGAAAAAATTACGTTTATAGCACAAAAGTAAGCTAATTTGATCGTCTTCAAAGATGCTATGGCTATTTTACTGTTCGAATCGAGCCGAACTACGCGGGTCGCCATTTTGTTTTGCCCGGAAGTTCTCGCAAGATCTACTCCTCCCCTCTAGGCTTGGGCAGAATTGAAAAAAATAGGACTTTCAAGTTTCAAGTCCTCAAACCTTGAAACCCGCAAGTCTCAAGCCCAATTTCAAGTCCAGGGGACGTAATAAAGTATACATGTAACATGAATAGTATTAGTCTCTTTGATAGTAAAGTAAAGCCATCAGCATTACTTCCCTTTATCGTTATCATTATTTTGTTCTCCAACCAACCACCTAGGCCTATGGTGAGACGCATGGAACATCTTTGTACTTTGTGATTCTTGTTTGGTGGATTTTTTGATTTAAAAAAAATTTTATTTTTCTTCGCTTGTTTGTTTTTTTGTTCTGTTCTCTGTTGTATTAATAAACTCAGGAATTGCTTCAGCCTTGGATGGCAATGATGGCATTGAAGCCTTATCTGGGCCTAGGCCTGCCTACCCTTTATCGAGGAAGTGGACTCAACCAATACGCCAAGGGCGAGCAAATCCTAGCAAGTAATAGGGGTGGTACTGCCTACCCCTTATCAAAGAAATGGACTCAACCAATCCGCCTAGGACGAGCAAGTCCGAGCAAGTAGCAGGGGTGGTAGGTGTATTTGAATTCAAACAATCATACTGAAAGCGCTAAATTAATAAGAAACATGCCAATTTTTAGCATTTCTTTAGACATTGGTTTACTGACTCTTTACTCAATGTTTGTAGATCTACTGTCCGTTAAAATAATTGTATTTTTTGATTGAGGGATAGATCTGTTTTGCTAGGCCACGCAAGACTTGAACTTGCTCAGTTCTAAATACTTGGTCTCAAACACTACTTGATGGGCACGAGAATTTCAAGTCTCAAGTCCAAGTCCAAGTCCTGCCCAGGCCTACTCCCCTCTCTCTCTCTCTCTGTCTCTTTCTGAATACTGTCTATCGGTGTGGACGATCAAATTGACCAAAACAAAGTTAAAAAATGATGTTAAAACACAAAAGTAAATTAATTTGGTTGTCTACAAAGATGCTACGGCTATTTAACTTTTCGAATCGAGCCGAACTACGTGGGTCGCCATTTTGTTTTGACCAGAAGTTCTCGCGCTACTCCTCTCTCTCTCTCTCTCTTTCTCTCTCTCTCTCTACTGCCCACAGACAAAATTGTACGCTTTTAGTAGGCTACAGTTGTAATGGAACGTTTGTACACGGCACAGAATTCTACAATTTTTCTGTTATCACAGTGTAGAATTCTGTGGTTTAGGGTGAACGCAAAATTTGTTGGCCTAGATCTAGGCTATAACGGTGAACGCGCACCGGGTGAGTATAGCCAAAAGACTGAGAATAGAGGTGGCCTTCAAACACATATGTATGCGATTAAACGTAGAAGGGACGCAAACTATTTTTAGGTTAGGCGCCCATCTTGTCAGACCAGGATACCATTCCGATCATGTGACTGTGACTACATCTAAGTGTAGCTAACCGCATGGCACCAAAGATTGAAGTGTCTATGTATATGGTGCTACACCTTTCTCTCGGAAGTTCTGATGGCTGAACAGACAGCGCGTCTGCGTCGGAAGTCGTGCAATGATTTTTGGAGCGGTTCGATCCCGGTCCCGGACAGTTGTTTGTTTCTCTTCTCCTCCTCCCGACTGACCAACAGTCGCATAAATTATAGACCTAATTTGTAGAGCTGCTTTGAAGTTGTTGTTTTTCTTTTTAAATATATATATTGGTATTATTAGTGATTAAAAATGCAGGAGCGAGAGGGGGGTGTGGGGGGGTGTGGTAGATTTAGATTTAGATATCTTATCTAGATCTAGGTCTAATCCTCCTGCGTCTTGACGGCAATTTTCGTGCGGTCATCCATCATGTCCAAGTAGGCCTACTATCTAGATCTATGTTCTAGAATCTATATTTCTAGATCTAATCTAGATCTATGTTCTAGAATCTATATTTCTAGATCTATGTTCTAGAATCTATATTTCTAGATCTAATCTAGATCTATGTTCTAGAATCTATATTTCTAGATCTATTCTAGAAT